CACATTGTATCCACGTAGTATACGCTACCCTCCCCTCACTCTCTTAGAGCTTGATGAAAAAAGAAAAACACATTGTAGATAGAATTAAGGATGATACAGGATTTAGGATTCCACTCTGGGCTCTGGAATGTGTCCCTGTAGATAGGGAGGTGGTTATGTTCAACTTGGCTTGAGAGGACTTGGCTAATGAAAATATGAACTAAGGCAATCTGCCCAGCTACTAACCTCAGCTGGGCACATGCGTCTAAGGGACCTGCCCAAACAGCAGTGGCGATGGGTGGGGACAGGGTATGGGATCCCCGGGAGTGGCCCAGCACGCACTCAGATGAAGAGTATGAACTTAAGGAACTATGTGGTCAGAGCTCAGGTTATAGAGTCTTACTTTATTGCTCCCCCAAAAGGAACCAAAACTGAACAAAACACCGGGGATTTCTGAGGCTTCTTGTAGCATCTTAACTATATAGAATTAAGGACAAATTGTTTAGAATGGTTGACTAGCGAATTAATTTTTTAAATTGGTGTATGAATAATGTTTATATATAAATAAGGCCCAGGTAATATTTGATTATATAGTATTTGAGATATATTTCTATTATAGAATGATGCCATTTTCAAGTTTTATTTTTATTGTTTTTAAAGTGTGTGTGTGTGTGTGTGTGTGTGTGTGTGCTGTGTGTGTGTGTGTGCTTGTGCATGTGTGCGCACGCCTGTGTATGTGTGAATGTGGGTACAAGCAGAGTTCAAAAGAGGGCACCAGATCCCCAGGAGCTGGAATTACAGGCAGTTGTGAGCTATCTAAGGTGTGTGCTGAGAACCGAACTTGGGTCCTCTGGAGGAGCAGCAAGCCATCTTAACCATGGAATCAACTCTCCATCCCCAAGGTGTAATTTTATAAATTAAAATTCCAGTTTAAGTGGTCACCCATTTTTAAATCTGGTGACCTGGTTGGAAAGGAAAAGGACAAAAATTAATTTGAAAAATTCTATTCATTTTCTGGTTTTGGTTTGGTGTTTTATTTTCTTAACTGTGTTGATTGGTTTTATTTGATTGTGATCTTTCCCCTCAGCACTGTGGCTGTGAGAGAACTCACACACTCACGCCTCCTCTCTCTCATGCACAAATCATAGATTCTCATAGTTGGTCACGAATTATGTTCTGTATCTACCACTGTATGTACCAGCCACTTCGTCAAGGTGTAGGAATTTCTAGAAGTAACTCCAGAGAGACTCAAGGAAGCACTCATTTCTTTGAACCCTCTTGAATTTTTTTTTTACAAGAGTGCAAACAAAACCATGTACTGTGTAGCAGGTGGGAGAGATTTACACATGGCAGTGGACCAGTGCCAGCTCCCTGTATAGTGCCACATGCATTCCCAAACCTTCTCACTCAGCTGTCCAAGAATCTGACAAGAGATGGGCCCCAGAGGGCTTTGTGACTCTCTCAAGATCTCAATACTCCAAGCTGGAAGAGTCTCAATGTGAACCAGGCCCCATTATTGCCACAAGAGGGGAGTCTCACCAGTGCACAATGGCCATCCCCAGGTTAGGTCACCCTGACACCATGGAGACCTTTCGACTGTGTTTCACACCCCCAGGTGGCTCTGCCTTTCTCTCTGAAGTCCCCTTTTAACACTCACATTGCTGTCATGTTCTCACTTTCCAATCAGGGTTTTTGTTTTGTTCCTGTGTGTCCACATGTGCGTAGTATGTGGAAGCCAGAAACTGATGCCAAGTGTCTTCTTCAGTCCCTCTCCATCCATTTCTTGTTGGATATCATTGATTTGGCTAGCCTGGCTGCAGCCCAGGGGTCCTCTTCTCTCTGCCTGGGGTGACAGGCAGGCAGTACCACCCTGGCTTGTTAGTTTTTGACGTGGGAGCTGGGGATCCGAACCCAGGTCCTCACACTTAGGTGGCAAACACCTTACTGACTGAGCCATCTTTACCATGCTCTCTCCCCATTTTCTAAGTTAGCATGCTTTTACCAGAAGCCTCCTTGGATGCTCCTGTGGAGGTCTGGAGGAGAATTTGGATGTGCAGCCATGAGCAGACGTGGATCTGCTGCACAGAGCCTGTGCTTCCCAGTCCAGAGACAAAGAAATACACCCAGATCCCCAGACCCTGGCCGCCAGCCCCCGGATCTTAAGAAAGACAAAGAAAGACGGTGCATTTGGAAAGCAGAGTGGAGGGCACCCCCGGACAGCCAATTAAAGCACTTTTAATAGTTTCTGAGAATATATGTTCACGCTCCAAACCAATCTCAAGACTTAGTGGAGCAGAGATAACCGGGGCTTTGGCCATGTAAGATAAACCCACGAAATCGGAAATGAAGGCAATCCTGTTTTACATTAAGGGAAGAGAAAATCAACACGAATTCAGGTCCTCTTCTCCTCACTGTGCGATGCCTGGCTACCCAAGAGAAGATGCTCCTGCTTGCAGGAGATAGCCTGGTGCTGGGGAGATACTGAACCGGTGAATGAAAGAAAAGACGGATCGCAGGACTAAAGATGAGCATCCCCCAGGCTCCAATCATTACAGCCCCAGGCAGGGCATGGTGGTTAGGGGACCCCAGGAAGAAAGAGGATATTGGGATGAGCAGAGAAAAGGCAGGCAGTCCTCCTCTTAGCTTGCTGGTTTGTAAAATGCAATACGGGGCAATAAATACTGTGTGTGTTTGTGTGCATGTGCATGCGTGTGTGTGTGTGTGTGTGTGTGTGTGTGTGTGTGTGTGTGTGTACATGCATGCAGAAGCCAGGAATCAGCGTGTCGTTCCTCAGGAGTCATCATCTAGGTTTTCTGTGGCTGCTCTCTGTTTTGTTTTGTGTCTGCCCAGTGCTGCTCATTAGTCTGGAGCTCACCAATTATGCTAGCCTTGCTGGCCAGCAAGCCCCAGGGGCCGGCCTGCATTGTGATTGGTTGGGACTGCAAGCGCACACACACCGCGCACACACCATGCCCACACGGGGATCAAAGGCAGACCAACAGAACCCAGGTCCTCCGGCTTGCCTGGCCAGCGCTTCACCCAGCCATCTCTCTAACTGCTGATCTGCCTTGTGTGACATGGGACCCTGTGTAAGGGAAGGTTCCTACATTAGGGCCCCAGCAGGCTGGGCGCCAGGCTGGGAGTTGATCAACTGTGAGTTCAAATCCAAATGCTTCTGATGTCGGGGACAAGTGATTGGGCACAGAAAGATGGCAGTCCAGAGGGACCCTTCTGTGCCTGGAGCCTCTTCCAGTAGGAGTTTCCCATGCCTGCAAGGAACCAGCCCCACCCCCATGCCCCATCTGCAGCTCTCACCCTGTGATTTCTTTTCTTTGTGTCCCAGGTGTTCCATTTTCCAGCTCCATCTGGGCCAAGGCTGGAGTGGGGGCAGGGGCCTCTGTTCAAGCTCAGACTCCTCTACTTTCATGCTGTGCAACTTTGGTCAGGTTGTTTAACTTCTCTGAGCATCTGCCTTGTTGTCCGAAGAACAGGCACCATCACCGCAACTGCCTCCTAAGGCTTGCGGGGGCATGACGAGATGAGGCTTATAAAGTGATGTCACCTGTCATCTGGGAAGCTGTAAAAATGTCAGTGTCGGGGTTGCTTCTAAACCACCTGTCTCCAGGAAGAGACGGGAATTGCTAGGATGGGCTGCAATGCAGAGGACACTTTGTACTTCAGTGGCATGCTTCTGGTGCATGACTCCTTGGCAGCATTTGGGAAAGGTGGCACTGAGTGTCTGCCAGGCTCTCACGGTTGCCTCTGACCCACTCTGAACTTACCCAAGTTATGAGGTCTGTGCTCCTCCTTGGGGGTGGTCCCATGCGTTTGCTGAGGGCACAGGCTAGGAAGTCAGGCAAACCTCACTTCATACTCTGGTCTTACTGATTCCAGCTGGGAACCCAGCTCGGGCCGTTGTGCACTTTTCTGAGAGTCTGCCACATCCCCGAAACCCTGCAGTCCCCCGAATGGCTCCACCGAAGGCCTTGAATCCTGTCCATCTTTCTCTTCAGACACACCTAACACACGGCTACACCCACTTCAGAGCCCTTGCCCATGTGTGCTCTCTGTCCTGGGCTCCTTTTCATACTGCAAACTTCAAATTAAAGGTCACACTTCAGACAGGATCTCACTGACCCCTGCTGAGACACCCTCCCCGGTCCAGGGACTCCATGTCCCTCCTGTTTAACTGCTTTCCTCCAAGCCCTGAGGCAATGTCAACTCACCTTGTTGACTTTTACTTAACAGACCAGGGTCCCCGTGAAGGTTCTCTGAGGCAGCATGTCTTCCTTCAGTTCCCTCTGCACTCTGCAGGCACTTAGTACGTCATTGGCATTCAGTAAATATTTCCTTAGGGAAGGGATGGAGGATGATGCTACCTACTGTCTTAGCAACAGTAGTCACTGAGCCCACCCCTGCCCCTAGACGCAGCCAACCCAGTTCCAGACACTGTGTTTGTTACGCCTGCTCATTTCTTTGTGTTACAGAAGGCACTGAGAACCAGAGAGGTTACAGTTCAGACTCCAGGTCACACAGCCAGGCCCCCGGGATGGAGCCAGGATGTGAAACTGGGATGTCTGGCTCCAGAGTCAGCAAGACTAATGAGAAAATGAATGGATGAGGGAGGGAGAGAGGGGATGGATGGAGAGTGGGTGATGCACTGCACACATGCCCACTCGTGGTCCACAGCCCGAGGTGATGATGAATGTTGGCAGGAAGCTTCTTCCTCTAATGAAACAGCTACTGTGCATGGCCCCCAAGGGCCCCAGCCTGGCCACGCCCTCCGCCCCCATCACTCATCAGCTGTCTTTGGCTCTGTGATCAAACTACAAACACCCATGCAAAGACATCGTGCTATATTTTAAACAGCCAGGGATGTAAATATTTAAAGGAGCCGTGTGAATTATTGAGTCTGCCTAGGTGGGTTCTACTTGTTGTCACGTCCTGGGCTCGTGCTCACCCTTCAGCTCCGGTTTGATCTCTTCCCCACACCTCCAGAGAGACCTCGGCCTTGGAATGGGACAACTGTGGCAAGACGGGCGTCAGGGCTTTCGTCCGGACCAGGAGGTTTCGATCTGTCTATCTTCCTCTGGGGCTAGTAGACCATGTGGCTGGATGTTTGCCAGATTCTGTTGGTTTTAGCGCTGGACCATTTAATGATCACCCGTTGCCTTGGTTACTTTTCTTGGGGTGGTAAAATACCACACAGAAGCAGCTGAAGCGTGGAGGGTCTATTCCGACTTAGTTGCAGCCCATCATGGTGAGGACGTCACTGAGGCAGGAGCTTGAGGCAGCTGGTCACATTGCGCCTGCAGTCAGGAAGCAGAGAGAGACAGATGCTGGTGCCCAGCTTGCCTTCCCCTTTTTATGTGGTCTAGGACCCCGCCCAGGGAACGGCACTGCTCTCTTTTAAGGTTTGTCTTCCCACCGTGGTGAACCTATGGAGACAGTCCTTCCCAGGCATCCGGGATGGAGGCTTGTCTCCTAGGTGATGCCAGATGCTGTCAAGTGGACAGTCAGCATCAACCATCACAAATCCTCTACTCAAAGCTGTCACTGGCTCAGTGGGTTAAGGTGCTTGCAGCCAAGCATGATGACCTGAGTTCAATTCCCAGAATTCACATGGTGGAAGGAAAGAACCAACTCCTGCAAGTTGTCCTCTGACCTTCACATACATGCTATGATATGCATACACACACATATGTGCACATATGCACACACACACATACACATACATACACACACACATGCACACATACACATATATACACACATTCACATGCACACACATATACACACATACACAACACACATACACGTATATATACGCACATGCACACACATACACACACATACAGACATGATTTTTTTTAATGTGTTTGCTCTCATACCCCTTCTCCTCCTCAAAAACTAGTCCAATGTGGCTCACCCTCACCCTGCCCCCCCTTTTCTCCCTTTTCCCAGTATTTATTACTTTCCAACAAACTGAAACTAGACTCTTATCTATGGTGTAAGGGAAGGCTAGCTGGTGCCTGTGTGATGTGTTCTGTAAGGACGAGCCATGGCACCAAGAAAGGTCGGTTTCCTTGTGCACACGAGGCCGTGTGTGTCTGTGTCACACAGAAGTGTGGTCTCGCCCCTGTCCACCCCTCCCCGCTGGTGTACACGCCCTCAGAGCTAGAGTGTTTGTTTTTTATTCATGGATAGATCCATGCTGACTAATTTTTTTGTCAACTTGACCCAAGTCAGGGTCACGTGGGAAAATAAACCTCAAATGAGAAAATGCCTCCATCATACTGGCCTTTGGGCAAGTCTGTGGGGGCATCTCCTTGATTAACGATGTGGGAGGACCCAGCCCACCACAGGTGATGCCACCCTGGGCCGATGCTCCTAAGTCGTATTAGAAAGCAGGCTGAACCAGCCGTAAGAGCAAGCCAGTACACAGTGCTCCTCATCCTCCACCTCTGTTTCAGTTCCTGTCTCAACGTTCCTGCCTGGAATTCCTGCCCTCAATTCCCTTCGTGATGGGCTGCAGCTGTAAGCTGAAACAAGACCCCTTCCCCAGGTTGCTTTTGGTCATGGTGTTTATTGTAATACTAGAAAGTGAACTAAGACAGATTCCAAGTTCCTAGAACACAGCGGAAGCACATTAAGCATCTATTGAATGAATGAGTGAGCAAAAGAGTGATGAGGTAATGAATGACTTTCAAGGCAGTCCCCTTCTCTAGCAGACCCCTCCAAAGAAACAGAGTGCTGCTTTGTGTCCCATGGAAGCCACTTGAGGACAGGAATGAATGAGTGAGTGAATGATGAAATAATGAATGAATGAGTGAATGATGAGATAATGAATGAGTGAATGGTGAGAAATGAATGAATGAGTGAATGAGTGATGAGATAACGAATGAATGAATGAATGAGTGAATGAATGAATGAGTGATGAGATAATTAATGTGTGATGGGAACAGCCCCAGACAAGGCAGTAACAACTGGCTCCACACCAGCCTCATCACCATCACTAATCTAGTAAAGGTTTCTCCCCCACGTCTACCAGGCAGGCCTGTAGTCACCTCCCTCCTGCAGAAGAAGAACCTGCATCCCAGTTTGTCCTTGTCCTCAAGTGGCTTCCATGGGACACAGAGCAGTGCTCTCTTCTTAGGAGGGGTCTGCTGGAGAAGGGGATAGCCTTGAAAGGCAGTCTTCCTTTCCTGGGGCCACCTGTGTGCCAACTCCACCACGGAGAGCTGTACTGAGCCCAGCCCAGCTTATGGTATCAGCACCCTCCACTTCACAGCTGGGCATGTTGGCCTCTGAGGCTCTTCACAGAACCCCCAGCACCCTGGGCTCACCTCCCTGGCCATGGCCTCCTCTGCCTCCTGTACCTGGTTTTACAACTCGGTCAGTACCCTCAACCCTCTGTGATGGTCAATCTTGATTGTCAGTTGGTTGGCCCAGAACTAAGAGACATTCTTCTGGGAGAGTCCGTGAGGACATTGCCAGAGGGTTAGCTGAGGGTACAAGACCCTCCCTCAGAGTGAGTGGTACCTTCCAAGGGAAGGCCCATATATATAAAAAGGTCTGAGAAAATCCAGTGTTGCCTGCCTGCCTTTAGTTCTTGCTGATTGGTGTGCGCATCTCTGAGGCCTCTATCCTTTGCTGATTGCAAACTGTACTTAGCATCCACAAGGCCCCAAGTTCAAGCTCCCGGAGGTGGGGGCGGGGCTTGCTGGAGCTCTGTTCACGAGCTCTGTGCTTTAACGGGTGCCACTCTGTCAAAGTGGGTATGGATGAAGGGAGAGAGCTGTATCCGACAGTGATGCCAATGTGGGCACCTGGGAGCCATCTGCAGTAGGATTCAGGCTCTGAGCGGCATGACTGGTATTCGCACTACCTGGTAGAGAAGATGGCCCCCGCCCCCGCCCCACCCCCACCCCGACCCGGGAGGGCTGGAGGAGGGCCAATCATCGCCGGTCACCCCTAGCTCAGCCTCCCCACTGGCGGCTGTCGCTGATGATTCATTACAAATGAGAAAGTGAAGACTGGAGACTGAGCCGGGGACCCCGACAAGGGACAGAATCCCACATAAACGGGCCCTTTGATCATTGCAGCGATTTGTGCAGAGGCTTGTTAGCTCCCGGAAGATCAAATGGGGAAGATAATGAGCAATTTTCAGGTGGTCGGTGCAGCCTGCGAGGTGACAACCCAATTTAGTCAGCGTCTTAATCGCGTCAGAATCCCTGACTTGGCGCTGTTTGCGCGTCTATTACTCCATTACGCCGAGCGCTCGGCCGGCTCTGGGCTCCTCCGTTCCAGTCTCTTCAAGTATTTATCTCCATGCAATTTAATTAAAGTCTAGTGTTTAATGACACAATGTACGCTAATTATTTCTTGTTGGTTGTTGAGGGTGGCTATTTCCACCCCTCCCTCCGCCCTTTCGCAACAAAGCAGAATGTCATGTCACCTAGCGAAGGCTGGGACAAGGACAGGCTGGGTGATCTGATGATATGTGCCGTGCAGAGGCTTCTGAGGAAAGTCAGGGCATCCTTGTTCCTTCTCCATGTCATCTGGGGTGAGTTCTTTCTCTCTAGACTTACTATGTAAAGAGGCCCCAGGCACCCCGGAAGACAGGCTGAATTCTGTTGGCAAATTGACCTGTGATCAGCTGATCTACCCACACAGCAGGAAGGTGAGACTGTGCCCAAGGGTAGCCAGGCACGAGGCTGCAGCGTCCCTTTTCATATGGCTATGACAAAGTAAATACCAGAAGTAACTTTTTAAGAGAAGAAAGGCTTATTTTGAACCATAATTGAAGGGTCCCTTGTGGTGGGGAAGGCATGCAGGTGGGAACACAGAGTGGCCGCTTTCTCCTCCTTACTTACTCAGCCACGCCAGCCCACAGGATGGTCCCCCTCACCTTCAGGGTGGAGCGTCTTGCGTCCATCCAATCTAGACACTCCCTCATAGGCACGGCCAGAGGTTTGCTTTGTCCTAGGTCATTCTAAACCCTGTCCAGTTGACAACTGCTAAAGCCTTGCTCTGTGATGCTTTTGCGGTTTAGTTCTGAGCCCCGGGCAGTAAAGAATCTTCGTTATGGGTGTGGTCTCAGAGTGGAAAGCACCTCATAGACCCCAGCTGGTGGAAAAACAGCCTCCTTCAGGCAGATTCTCTGCTCACAAGTGTCCAAGGAAGAGAGTGTGCCTGAGTCTTTTGTCAGATAGCCTGCCTGGGATGTCAGCCATGTTCCCTTTGGGAGTGTTGTTTCTCCTTCTGGGCCTCAGTCTCCTCACTAAGGACTTATAAAACCCAATGTGGTCAGAAGGAGCAACATAAGCAACCCCAGCCTTTACCCGGCACACACAGCTGACCCAGGGAAGGACTCCTACACTGTGGCCACCTCCTATGTTCATTGAGTATGCCTAAGAAGGCTCTGCCGAGGTGACCAGAGGAGCCCAAGTCAGCTGGCGAAGAGGCATGAGGCATAGTTTCTTCTCCAGACTGTCCCGGGGGTGGCCCAGCTCAAGATGCATGTTGCAGGACACAGGGCAGGCAGGCAGGGCCAGGAGAGGCTGTCAATCTGGAAACCCAGGCTGCTGGGACACATCAGTTAGACAGTATAGGACAGAGGGCAAGGGCAAGGCAAGGAAGAGCTGAGCTTTCCATGTCCCTGAGCAAGCCAATTCACCAATTCACCAACCAAGCCTCATGCCCTAGGCTGGGGATGTAGCTCAGTTGGTAGGGTGCTTGCCTAGCATGAACTAGGACCTGGGTTCTATTCCTAGCACCATAAAAAACCAGGGGTGGAGGTACATCCCTACATTCTCAGCATTCATGAAAATCAGATGTTCAAGGTCATCCTTGCCTATGTTTTGCATTAGAAGCCAGCCTGGGCTACATGAGACTCCATCTGAAAAAAAAAAAAAAGTCACACAAGGACAATATTAGGATCTGACTTCATCAGGCAGATTAAATGAAATCACACTGCCAATATACCAGAAGTGACTGATAGCTTCAGATTACTTCTGTTTCTAGGGGACCACGGCACCCACTCCAAATACAGTGTCCTCAGTTGAAGAGGTCAGAGCTGGGCGCAGAGAGAGTCCCAATCACTATCGGCTACCAAATGACATCAGACTGACATTTCTGTCACTCCAACCTTAACATATTTCTCTTTTGATTGCCCTGGAGAGGTCAGCAGCTTCCTCTCTGAAGGCTATGTGGCAGTGGACAGGGGCCAGGAGTCCTGGGAGCCTGCCCTGCCTTCTGTCTGTTTGGGGGAAGCAGTCCACAGTGAGTCCTTCCACAGAGGGTAGCCGCGGTGCTAGGATCTTAGAGACCTCTCTGTCCCTTTTGACCTCAGGTGGGAACGAGGTTTATTCTGGTTCAGTTTGAGGGCGCAGTCCATCACGGCAGGGAAGGCAGGCCAGTGGGAGTGCAAGTGGCTGGTCACATGGCATCTGCAGTCAGAACACAGAGGGGGGAATTGCTGGTGCTCAGCCCACTTCCCCTTTGTATTCAGTTAAGGACCAGAGCTCATGGGATGGTGCAGCCTCCCGTTCAGGGTGGGTCTTCCTACTTCAATTAACCCAACCTAGAAACTCCCTCACAGACATGCCAGGAGATTTGTCCCCTGGATGATTTCAGGTCCTGTCAAGTTGACAATATTAACCTTCATGATGCCCAAGAGCCCCGAGATCCAGGCTCCATCCTGGACGCTGCAGAGACTCAACAGGCAAAGGTTGTAGGGCGTGTGGGAAGCAGGCATTGGGATGGGGAGGGGGGCGGGGGGCAGGGCTTGGGATCCAGGGGCTCTGGGAACCAGCACCTGAAAGCTTTGGCTGCGTTTCTGTAAGGAAACATATCTTCCGACACTCACCACAGTATTCTTTCCTGTAACAAGCTGCTTTATTCAAGCAAACAAAGAGAGCCTTGCCCGCCGAGGAGCGAGGAGAGCTGTCAGGCGCTGTTCAGGGAAACATGAAAGAGACAAGCCAAAGGAAAGCATGGGGAAGCTGAAGGTTAAGATGAAGCTGCCAGTCCGATGGGTCCCGCCTCCCCTCCTCACTGCCTCTGGCTGAGGGCTGAGCTGCTCACCACAGAGTGGGTGATGGAGCTGCCTCTGAGCCTGAGAAGCCACCCAACCACCCCTGGGTTTTATTTCTTTCTTTATTTTTGACTGATAAAATGTACACACTGCACTCCCAACTCAAATTTCCCCAGGCCAGGGTGCTTGTGCCCCTGGTGACCCACAAAGGGCCAGCTGCCCTGACCCAAAGGCCAGTCAGGAAGCCCATGGGATGCTTTAGTCCTCTCCTTCAGTTTTCTGTCCCTGGGTCTTAGTCTTGGCCTCCTTGTGCTCATCCTGTAGGAATAGGACCACTCAGTAGACCTGGGCTTCTGGTTTAGAGACTTTCCCATCTTTGTCTAGTCCCAGAGGACTCACTGACAACCACAACCAGAAGATAATGGCCACCAACACCTGGGGAGGGGTCGCCAAAGGCAAACTCTTCCAACCCCTTCCATACTTGTTCCTAACAGCAACCTGGCCCAAAGCACAAAGGAACTATTTGTCTCTGGGTCCTAGGTGACAAATGGCTTTCTCTGTCCTGCCTCCTGGGTGACGCTGCTGAAGAAGCTTAGCTGAGGTTTTACAGATTGTTACACATTTTCTGTAGGCAGTATTTTACAATGAGGAGACAGCTTCCTGGAGGCCAGCTCCGGGAAGCAGAGGTGTTCCATTGAGAGAAAACACGATGTTTTGTTCCATTTTCTCTTGCTCCAACAAAATACCTGTGACTGATTCATTGTATAAAGAACTGAAGTTTACTAGCCAGACATGGTGGTGCATGCCTGTAATCCCAGCATGAGGACTGTGACTTTGAGACCAGCCTGGGCAACATAGCAAGAGTCTTTCTCCAAAGAGAAAAAAATAATAAAAGTCTGTAGAGGCTGAAAGTCCAAGCTCATGGCTCTGGCAATTCCTTATCTGGTGAAGACTCTGTGCCACATGTTCACACAGTGTTACAGAGCTAGCAAATCAGAAAGAAATCACTTTACACACACAACAACAACAACAACAATAACAACAACAACAACAAAAACCCCTGGGTCCTATGGAAACACACTGATCCAATAATCCACGATGGGTCAGTCCACTCACAGGGACCGTGCTCTGAGTGCCATAGTGTCTCCACCACTCTCTGAAGGTCCACCTATCAATCCTCGTGCAACGTGATAGCTGAGGGTTACTCTCAAGAGCACCCATGGCAAGTGTAAACCTGCCCTGCCATGTTTGAGATGCCAGGGCAGGCATCTTAAACTATTATCTTAAAGAGAGGGAAACCCTAACACAGATGCTTTGGAAAGTTAGGTTTGGCTCTATAGAAATAATTCTCTGTGAAGAAACTGTTGGGAGGTGGGGAGGGGGTTCCCTCTGGGGAGCTCAGTTGCTCCTCATTTATGAAGAGCCCCCTCCCCACCATAGTCTGGGAGCTACAGCAGGCTCTCAGAGGATGAGTTGAAGTCACGTGGTCTGGGGTGGCTTCAGAGGTGAGGGCAGCATGGACGAGTGGGGCCCTGTGGGTCATCAGGGCTTGTTGACATCTCAGTTCTTCCACTGATTAGTCAACCTTGGAGAGCTGCCTGCCTCTCAGAGCCTCCATTTCCTTGACAGAAAATACAACAGCATGTGAGTGACCAGCCCCTGAGCCTGGCTCTCTCTGAGTTTTGAGAAACAATGGTTGTTACTAATACAAAGCTTTTTCTGGACTTGAGACACC